TGGTGATTCCATCTCTTCAACCTGGAGCTGGTTTTGGCTTTGTTTGGAGCAAGGAAGAGCGAGGTTTGGAGAGCCACTCCAAGGCGCGTTCCCCAGCCCCACGGCACTGGGTTTGCCTTCCTGCTGTGAGCCGCAGGCTGCTCCCTGCGAGGCTGGACAGGGCATCCCGGGGGTGCAGCGCCTCACCCCCCCCAGCACTGCCGTGCCCTCACCCCACGTGAGATGCCCTCCCCATCCATGTTGGGATCTGGGGGTCTTCTGCAGGGCTCCGCAGCCCACGCAGGCGTGCCGTGCTGTGGAGACAGCCAGGAGAAGGCAGGGACAGGGAGGAGCTGTCTCCGTGCTGGCCAGGGAGAAGGGGAGCTCCCCGCGAGCTTTCCTCCAGGTTCCCTTTGCTTGTGCCTGCTGCTCCCTGTGTGGGTTCTCCCTTCCCTCTCGATACGAGGCCTTATTCCGACCCAGGGGGCTGAGGCTGCCCGCAGCATCTCTTGGCACCGAGATGTCCACCCCACGGGGAGCTGTGCTGGAGAGCTGGTCTCTGCTCGGGGATGGAGCCGGCACCCCAGCCCACCCACACTCTCGCCTCCCCGCTGCCGGTGTGCCCCGGGGGCCTGGCCATGGTAGGGAAGTCTGCTTTCACGGGGTTAAAACTTTTTACTTCATTAATTACTCCACGAAAACTGATAGCTTTGCAGGGGCACTAAACAGTTGCTACCTCTCCTCTTGCCTTTCCGTAGGAGTAGGGGCAGCTGATCTGCTCTTTTGGCCTCTGTAACCCTCTCCAAAACTTTTTGGAGGTTTTTAACATCATCTGGTGAGATGTGATCTCTGTGGAGCTGGAGGAACGCGGGCGATGGAGCTGGGCAGCCTGCTTGCCACCGTGGCGAGGCGCTTGCGAGGTGCGTGGGCTGCCTTGGGTGGAAGGCGGGGCGCCATCCTGGCAGCGCTGGGGGGGCGCCGGCCGTGCGTCTGTGGTCGGGAGAGGATTCTGCTGTACTTTTTTCCTGTCTGTAGGTTTTATTCAGACAATATGTAACGATTGAGTGATTTACAATTCAGTGTTAAGCTAATGAAAACGTTGATAATGGTGATAATAAAACCTTCTTTTTTTTTTCCTACAGTGTGTTGGAGGTTTTTTGTGGAGTGTCTCTGCCCTCTGTTGCCACCACCATGATCTTCAGCCTAAGATTTCAGCTGGCCCATCCCTTGTCCTTGGGCCTATAGGGAATGAGAGGAGCTCAGCCTGGTGTGTCCCAGCACCAGCCCAGGCTCCTTCCCAGTGCTCTCTATGGATGGGTGCTCTCTGAATCAACCCCAGTTTCAAACCTGCCCTTCCCTGTGCCATTTCCAGATGTAATTTGGCCGTGGGCATCTCCAGGCACTGCGCCAAGCTTGCTGCCAGCTTGTACTCTGCTCACTACCCCAGCCAAAAGCCTTCTGCCCTGCTGTTTTCTTCCCAAGACCCTTCGTGGTCAGCGCCGGCCTTTCAAGGTTGATTTTGACATCCTGGAGGTAAAGACGGTGCTGGCAGAAAAAACTACCCCTGGCCCTGGTTGTTGGGAGTACTGGGGGTCAGTGTGGGTGCAGGGGCAGCCTGGGGACCCTCAGGGGAGGGGACCGATGGGGGTTGTTGAGTGTGCAGCCACTGCCCAGTCCATGGCAGCCTTGAGTGGGGAGCCCTTGGTGGGGAGCCCTCGGGGCCTCTGGTGTGACGCTGGCTGTGGGGCTCTGCAGGAGCGGGGGGCGAGGACACGCAGCGTTCCCCGAGGAGCACCTGCAAGCCCTTTTCCCATGGGAATTACAAGGGATCGCAGAGTCCCAGTTCACTGAGATTTTCTTAAAGGTTTTCTTATTTGCTTCCAAATCCTTCTGTGGGTCGTTGGGGCGGGAGCTAGGGGCAGGGCAGCTCCCCACCCAGCCACCCACCCGCCCCAGCTACAGCCCCGGGGGGAACAGGGGTGGAGGGAGGAGGAGGAGGAGGAGTTCTCGGTGGCGCAAGTGGCTGGGGGGTCGGGGCGGGCCCGCCCGGGACAAGGGAATGAACGGTGTCTCCTCACCAGCCTCCAAAAGTGGCATGGGGCTCAGGCAGTCACGCAGTTCCCCAGCAGCGCTGCCTTGCAGCTCGGGCTGCACAAAAGCAGCAATAAAGCTGAGCAGGTGCCCTGGTCTCTGCACTGCCGGCTCCTTACCAGCTCCGTCCTCTGCCCAAGCCAGGCTCCACTGCGCAGGCATCGCGCTGCCAGCCCCGGTGCCTGTGCCGGGCTCTGCCTGTGCATCGTGGCATAGCAGGCTCTGGGGCCCGAGCACGGAGCTGCTGAGCACTGGCAGCCCTGCACTGCGTCCGGAGGGAGAGCGCAAGGTTGGCTCGGGCTCTGGACTGTGGTCGTTCTCCCACTCCTGGCTCCAGAAGAGGTGGGTGTCCCCAGAGCGATGCCATGCGGGCTCTGACTTGTGCAGGAATTGAAGAGCTGCTTCCTTCCATGAAAGCGGAAGGAGGGTGAGCGGTGCCGGCTCCATCCCGGGCACTCGGAGGGTGTCCCAGGTTCAGCATGGAAAGGGCGAGAGGTCTCCGTCTGTGGCACAGCTCTGATGGCAAGGGCACCGCAGCACACCCAAGCCTTGGGCTGACAGCCTTGGTGAGGGCGGGAGGAGATGGGACACTGTAACAGCGGGCCTGAGCTGCTGGGATCGGCATGAAATGACATTTTAAAGCCTGTTTTACTTGCTCACAGCTTGCTTTCTCCCTTCTCCTCCCCCTTTCTATTTAAACCAAGGCTGACACAGCTGGTCCAGATTTGGTGTGACTGGTGCAAAGCAATGCAGCTGCTGCGTGCCTGGGGGTGGACCAGGGTGTTCTGGTGGGGGGAGGCTCCTCTGGCTTGGGGCTGTGCTCCTGGCTCCGTCACTGTCCCTTCCCTGCCCGCACGTGGGACGAGGGGATGGGCTGAGGCCAGGAAGGACCGAGTGTCTTGCAGGAGGGTCCTGCTGCCCAGGGGCAGGAAGGATGGATTGGCTGTGGCCATGTCGCACCTCAAGAGCGGTGTAAAGTCCTACCTCTGCCTCCAGTGGGGTGGAGGAGCTGGCAGGGAGCCGGCAGCCGTGCCAGAGAGCATCCCCCCAAACAAAGGAACCCCCCTCAGCCGCCCCGGCAGCGCAGCAGCCCCGCTGCAGACCTGCCCTGCCAGCACTGCTCTGCTCTCCTGTCAGCCCACCCCAGCAATCCGAGCTCCGGCCCATCCCTGCGCTTGCCTGTCTCGAAGCCCAAATCTCTGCCATTCTAGAGACCAGAACGAGAAAGTCCCGGTTGTAACGATTTGGGGTGACATCAAAGGCCAAAGCTGCCTCCAGGGAAGCCCAGGCACCAGGAAAGGTTGGAAACGTGAAGGTCACCGGCCAGGGAGGGTGGAGGAGCCTAGGGTATCCCTGTGCAGGGGCAAAGACACCATCCCATGATGGGCAACGCGACCCAGCTGCTTCCCAGCTCTGGGACAGCCACTCCACCTCCCTCCGATGCCCAAACATCCCAGCAAACATCCATAGGGATAACATCCCTGGATGCAAACACTTCCCACACCCCGTGGTGGGGGAGCCAGCCCTCGCCTGCCCCTGCAGCCGGGCAGGGCTGGGGCTTGGGGCTCGGAGACATCCCTCTGCTCCCCCTCACCACAAATAACTGACCACTGCCAGCTGGATTCACCTTTTATTAAACTGCCCAGAACAAAAGAGAGGAGAGAGCAAAGCCTGCCCTGAGGCCCTCCCAACGCTGGCGCTCTGCATGCCTTCCCCACTGGGAAAAGGGGATTTTCCTCCAGGAAAACCCCATCAAAGGGTCTTTTAGATAAAACTTTAGTGAAAATACCCCTTTATTGGGGACAAAAAAGTGAAACAGAGCTGGTGACGCTGTCAGAGCCCAGTCCTGTTTTCTTGCAGATGAGGCAGGATGGAGACGGGCCGTGTCGGGGGGCATCCCGCCCGGGGGCACGTGCCGAGACGGGCTCACCCCCCTCTGACAACCCCAGCAGCAAGGCCACGGGCTCACGGGGACTGGGAGGAGGCGAGGAGCAGGCACGCTTGCTGGGCTGCCAGCTGGAGGAAAGGTGGTGGAGGGGTGATTTTAGCTACTGATCCAGTGAGTTGCGGGTGGTTTTTCTGGCTGAGGGAGGCTCTCCCTGGGGCTGTGCCCTTGGCGCAGTCTGGGCTCACCACAGAGGGGGGCTAGGGCTTGGCTGGAGGAGGTCAGCTTCCCCTGAGCTGGGACACTGCACCAGCAGCCAGCTCAGCCTGGGGACCTGCTGGCAGCAGGGGGAGGTGTGCTGGTGGGTAAGTGGGTGAGCGTATGGACCTCCAGCTTCCACAAGTGCTGAGCCAGCCGCAAGCCCGAGCGTAGACCCAGAGGGTTGGTCGTGGGCGATGCGGCGCGGTGGAGCTGTCTCCGTGTGCTGAGCGGCAGGACTGCAGCCCGTCCCCTCCTGCCCACCCACCAGCTGCAAACCTGCTGCGCGGCACCGACTTACCTGCACCCGGTCTCAGGGGAGAAGTTAAAGATCTCCAACCCTGCAGGGCTCACCAACATGGGCTTTGCTTTTGGTATGCTCTCAGCAAGTGCAATCCAGCCTGTGTCGTGAGAGGAGCGTGCTGGAAGCAGAGAGGTTAGGCAGGGCAGGAGGGCAGCAATGCCTTTTGGGGAGCAGGGAGGTGGGAAAGCAAGCCTACAGCCTGCTGGATTCCACATCAGGCGCCTCTCGCCAGACCCAAATGCTCGAACCTACTTGGGAGGAAAAAGCAAAGAAAACTAACAACGTAATTCAGTGCCCGTGGAAAGGAATGATCATTTCTCAACGGGGTTTAAAGGCTCCTGCTGGACCCTGCGTGCGGCTGGCTGCCAGCTGAGAGGGGAGAGGAGCCGAAGAAACGAGAGCGGTAAGAGGGACCTGACGTCTCTGTTCATAATTTATCACCATAGTAAGACTCGAGCACCGTGGACGGCTCGGCATGTGCTCCTAGATGGATTTCCTCCGCAGCCGGGGGTGCTGCCGGCAGCGAGGGCTGTTGGATGATAAAGTGCTCCCCGGGGAAGAGCCGGTCTGACCCCGCGTGCTCAGGGAGACCTCGTCGATTTTGTAGGAAATGGAGTTGTAATACACGGGGTTGGTGTGGCAGGGCTGGGGGCCCGGGGGGGGGGGGACCGCGGGTCCTGTCCTCTGCGGGGAGAAAAATGGCATTGCTGCCCCGGCCGTCCTCCTTCGGCTTGAGGTGGATGTTGTTGCGGGCTCTCCTCAGCGAGGCGCGCTCTTCGGCGTCCCGCCGCTCGTCCTCCGAGTTCATCGTCAGGAACCGCAGCACGACGAGGTTGAGGAAGGCGCCGATGACGGTCAGGCCCACCAGGATGTACATGAAGCTGAAAGCCACGTACGGGGGCTTCTTTTGCAAAGCCTCGTTCTTCTGCAGAGCCACAAAGTCTCCAAAGCCAATAGTGGTCAAGGTTATGAAGCAGTAGTAATAGGCGTGAAAGAAAGTCCAGCCCTCGAAATATGAGAAGGCTGCTGCGCCAATGCACAGGGTCCCCATGCAGGACAGAAAGCCGACTAGGACCATGTTCTCCATGGAGACATTGGTTGTCCTCATGCCCAGACACTTCTTGATCTTCTTGAGCAGCAGCCGCACGACGGTGTTCATGCGCTCCCCCAGGCTCTGGAACATGACCAGCGTCAGGGGGATGCCCAGGATGGCGTAGAACATGCAGAAAACTTTGCCGGCGTCCGTGCCCGGGGCAGCGTGCCCATAGCCTGCAAGGGAAAGGGGAAAGGCAGGCGTCAAGCCCTCATCGGGGTTTCCAGCAAGGCTGCCCTGGCACCCAGAGGAGCAGTAGGAAAAGGGAAAATGAATTGGCAACAGATCTGCAGGCAATGCTAAGGGGCCATGGGCTGCCCCATCCTTTGGGATGATGCCACATGGCAGTATCATGCAGGCAGAACCTCACTGGTACCCTCCTGAGAGCCCCCAAGTTTGTATGAGGTCATGGAGGCCAAGAGGAGCCCTAGAGCTCTGCAAGCCTTCTGCAGCTCACGAGCAACGCAGCGGCAGCGACGCCGTGCCAGCACGGGGTCTGCAGGGAACCTGCGCTATAGAGTCATTCCCCCCGGAGCAGCTAAGTCTGGGAGGACTTCTACAGAGCAACTTTGGATTTACTCCGGTGTTGCAAAGACCTGAAGCACTGCCGGATTGCTGGGGAGGAGGGGCTGTGCCCTTTTAAATGCAGGGAAGTATTTATGGCACCGCAGCCCTGTCAGCCCTTGTCCCAGGGACAAGGAGCTCAAGGAGGATGAGGTTCTCCTCGAACGCCTTCTGAGATTTAATTTCCCCACCTTGCTCCAAGTTTCAGAGCTGTGACTCAAGGACACGCACGATCATACCATGAGTCGTAATGAGGTATTCACCGCAATCTTCCGGACTTCAGTGATTCTGCACCCACCTCACTTCACTGTAGGAGCTTAACAGAAATCGGTGGCCTCTGACCTTAGCGGATGAGTAACTAACTCAGTGCAAGGACATCGCGCAGCGTGGGGAGTAACGGTGTCCAAAGGCATCCAAGCCTTTCTTTTGAGTTTCTGTGAGAAACTGCCAGGGCTGGATGGTGCCTTCTGACGGTGCCTGCAGAACAGCGCCGGCTCCTTCCCGCGCTGCTGCGTGGCCTTTTGCAAACAGCTATTTATATTTTCGCTTTCTGCAGGTATGGGTGTGACTTTTGCGTGAAGAACACGGCGGGGAAAATACCCTTTTCCATTTCTCAGTCTTGTTCAGAACTGTGACTTGGCTTCACCTCTGTCGCTGCTGTCCGTGGACTCTCGGGCAGCTGGCAGCACACAGTGACGGGGCGACCAGAGGACGATACCCACGCCGTCCCGGGCTCCCGAGCGCACCTCCCGCTCCAGGAAAGTCCTGCCACGGGACGGGGCTGGGAGGCTGAGGACAGCGTTACCCTCGACCTTGCTGCGCTCCGAACTGCAAGCCCGCAGGAAGGGACTGGTTTCTAATGGCTCTGTCTGTTCATAAACCCACGCAATCAAAAATAATAAACTTCATGTCTGCATGCCACATGTCACAAAATAGAGAGCAGACATGAGGCTGCAGCAGCAAAACCCCCGGTCAGATCCAAGCTTAATAACTGAGTGCAGTTACCAGGTCCTAGGCTAAAAGATAATACAATTACAGCGTTGAGGAGGTAAATACAATGATCCAGGAGAGCAGTAAGTGGAAAAACAGTTGTTGTAGCCTGAGAGACTGATGAAAGAGCATTTGACGGACGCTTTCAGAATGACAAAGGGAATCAGAAAGAGTAAACACAGCTACATTAACGTTAAAACGGAGATTTGGAGCACGGCCCAACATAAAGAGATCTGATGTGCCAGCGTTTTAGAAATATGGCACCTGGGCTGAAATTATTTATTGCACGGGGCGTCTGAGAAGTGTAACAATTGTTTGTCACAGTCAACAGAAAAATCATGTAAATGAAGCTATAACCTGTCATGAGATGATGGAGATTTTCACTGAAGCCATTCATCCCACCCTCCTGCTGGGGCCTGACGCTAACCGTGCCCCGGAGCCATCGCTGCTCGCAGGCCACGTGCATTGCCAGCTGCACAAGCCCCACAGCACCTCTTGGGGGGCACCCGGAGCCCCCCGGGGCAGGCCCTGTGGGGAGCCTGCCCCTCGGCCACCTCTTGTCCCCTGGTAACGTGGTGCAGCTGATCCCACCA